TGATTAGCTTTGTATGTCTATATGTGTTTTCATGAGAAACTACATTGAAGATATCAATATGTAATACAATAAGCATTGTTAATTCCCTACCACTCTGTTTGTAACTCTGTATTGTCTGTACTGATCCTTTGCTATTTTGTAAAACGTTGTCGATCTGTTAGTATTTTCCTCCTTTTATTTCTAAAATAAAAAAAAAAATTTAAAAAAAAAAAATAAATAAATGAGTAAAAACCCCTATTAGAGGCAGAGATTTTCAGGTCAGACTGAAAAAAGTAAAAGTCAACTACATGCTCCCATAAGAAAAACATTTTAATATGAAGAAATAAATGTTAAGAATAAAATAATGAAAACTATATACCATATCTACACTAGTCAGTATTAGGTACATTACTGTCAGACAAAGTAGGTTTCAGAGTGAGAAATATCACCAAATATAAAGGTTCTTTCACAATGGTGAGATCAGGTCACCGAGGACATAATAAATACGATGCGCTTAATACTGCTTCAAAATGCACAAAGCAAAAACTGATAGAACTTAAAACTGACCGAACTAAAAGGGACAGTTCCACAATTATATTCAGAAATGTCAGTATCTCTTTCTCAACTTCAGACAGAATAAAGAGACCAGAAATACTGAAGACTGGAACAACACTATTGATCAACTTTGTCTAACTGGTATTTATGGAACATTCCATCCAACAGCAAGATACACTTTCTTGTTAAGAGCACCTGGAGGCCTAGCCCCTGCACAGTCGATAAGGAAACCCGCACACTGCCAACACTTTTTTTTTCAGCCGGCAGGAAGACCGCGGACAGACAGAGTGTGCCCACCGGAAGTAAGTGACTATCTTCCAAAACAAGAAGAGGGTTCTGCTGGCAGAAAACTGGCAAGAAGCGCCCTCGGTACTACAGGAACATCAGTCTAGGCTTGAAGACCCCAAAGAGGCCATCAGGGGCACCGATACTGGTAAGAAATGCCCTCACTTGTACCGCTTCCATCCGAGGGCGGACCCTGACTGGCGTGGTGACCGAGAAGAAGATGTGGGGGACGGTCACCGCCATGACCCTCTCCACTACATTCGCGGTTACAGTCGCTTTGAGAAGCTCACAAGGACATGGCTGCGCACCTGTCCCCCTGCTTCAAAGCCGTCCAGCGACGTGGTCGCGGTGGGTGACTGCAGGCCCCTGAGCAGGACAGGGCGTGTCCCCCTTCTCGGGGTCAGCAGGCCACCGGCACCAAGAAGCAGTTCCAGAAGTTCTGACGTCTCCTGGCTGCCCTCCAAAAGGAATAAAGTTATTTTGGCTCTTATGGAAAAAAAAAAAAAACACACATGGAACATCTTTATCAAGATAGACCAGGTTTGAGGCCATACAGTAAGTCTCAACAAATTTGAAAGCATTCAAGTCATACAATGATCTCAGCACAATAAAATTTAATCAGGTACAAAGTAACCTCCGGGAAATACCCAAATATTCAGAAACTAGAATATTTACAAAGAACCTGTAGGTGAAAGAAGAAATCAAATGGAAAATTAGAAAGTATTTGAACTGAGTATAAAAACAAAAATATAAAATATAAAATTGTGGAATCATATTAAAGCAGAACTTGTGGTAAATTTACAGTACAGAGAAGCTGTAGTATTCTCAGCATATACTTCACCAGATAACAGCAAGTTAAACCAAAAGTAGAAGAAATTAAATCATAAAGAGTACAGCAAAATTAAATGGCATGGAAATGAGAAAAACAGAAAAAAAGGATTATTTAAAAGATATAATGCAAGTCACAAACCTCTAGACCAACTGAGCAAG